ATAGTCTAAAAATAAGAAAAGGAGGAGACTAAATTTAGATAAGTGTGTGAGGAAGCTTTTAAATTATAATTTTCCATTAAATGCATGTAAAATGACTTGCTCTTAGGAAACATATTTAATTATATCATGTAGTTTTAAGCTTATTTAAATTCAGTGCTTTTAAAGCTTATTAAATATGTTGTTCGCGTATATCTATCAGAGTATCTTAAAATAATTTTTTTCCGGTTAGGTTTTTTAATTTACTCTTCATTGGTCAAATAGTCCCCCAATCTTTAACTTGGAAAAATTCTATTTGAGCTTGGAAAACACAAATATGCTTTTGCTTATTCAATTTTTAGTTTTTAACACTTTAATAATTTCAACCATTTTAGTAAGAACTGCTAGCTGTTTTAGCTATGGTATTGTTTTTAAATAATATTAAGTATTATTGATACATCTTAACAGATGTTTTGGTTTTTAAATGATAAATTAATCCAATTTAAATAAAATAAATTTTATTTTAAAATGTTTTAAAAAAGGAATCATGACTTTTGCCAACCCTGGTTACTATAGACAATAATGTATACATAAGGTTTTAAACTTCGACTATATTTTCTTCAAACCTATTTTGAAACATTTATGCTCAATTACAGTAAATTTGTTTTGTAGTAAAATTTTTATAGAGCTGTTTTATAGTAAAACTTTTTTGTCCTAACTGTATTTATTACCACATCGCATATTTCAAAATTTCATTAATAGTTCACCGGTCTAAAATTTCAGCTTTTTTATTATGTGATAAATATTTGTTTTTCTTTACAATAATAATAATATAAAATGCTGAATTAGTGTAAAATATAACACAAAATGAATAAAATATATAGATAATAAATGAATAATAAATTATAGTAAAATTATTTATAATAAATGAATAAAATGAAACTAACATTTTTAGGTAATACACCACATACTTGTAGCAAGAATGAAGTGTACAAAAAATGTGGCACAGCTTGTCCCGAAACTTGTGCTAAGCGAGGAATTCGACCATGTACTAAGCAGTGTGTACCTGGTTGTTTCTGTCGAGATGGCTTTGTGCGAAACAGTGAAAATAAATGTGTTAATCCAGAAAAATGTCCAAAAGGTAAAAGAACATAACACAATTATCATTGAAATTGAAAAATTATGGAAAATAATAAAGAAAAAAACTATGGAATGTTGATTTTACAAACAAAGCTGAATTAAGTCCAATAGGAGAGCATTAAGTCTAATTTTGCTAATTTTTAAAAAAAAAAGATGAAAAAAATATTCATTCAATGTTTAGTTCATTCAGATCATTTTTTGTAGTGAAAATTATCTATGTCTAAATGGAGCCGCGATGGCTCAGGGTATAGAGATGAATCGGGTTCGATTCCCAGCGATGGATGATCGATACGAATCCGCATACGGACTGCACCGACCACATTGCTGACGTAAAATATTTTCAGTTGCAGACGGATCATGAGTTAGAGTCCCTTTGCTGTCAGACTAGCCATGGGAGGTCCTGGTCTTCCTTTCCGTGTAACGCAAATACGGATTAGTGCCACCAAAAAAGTCCCCCACGTAGGCAAATTTTTACCAATACTTGATCCAGGAATTCCCTAGTCTTCTGAATTGAGTTCAAAATCACAAGTCTACGGAGTTAAACATTAGTAACGACAAAAAAAGTAAAAATTCGTACACTCTATAAAATATTTTTACCATTTTGAATTTTTAATGCAAACTATTAGAAAGTATTATCTTAATAAAGCACTTTCAATGTCTTANAGACGGATCATGAATTAGAGTCCCTTTGCTGTCAGACTAGCAGTGGGAGGTCCTGGTCTTCCTTTCCGTGTAACGCAAATACGGATTAGTACCACCAAAAAAGTCCCCCACGTAGGCAAATTTTTACCAATACTTGATCCAGGAATTCCCTAGTCTTCTGAATTGAGTTCAAAATCACAAGTCTACGGAGTTAAACATTAGTAACCGTAAACCAAAGAAATGGGTCGGCTCTTCAACGACGGTTATAAAATCATATAAATAATGAAGTAAGCGATCATCATATCATATATGTAAATGAATCATATATGATAAATTGTGAAATCACAATGTATCATATATGTAGCATAATCATATATGTAAATGAAGTAAGCGACTTTTTAATGTCGAATTTTTCAATTTTTCTAATATCTCAAATTAGAGCTGGATTCGAACAACTAAAACAGGAACGGAGATAGTGCGATCCTATCTCAGCTTTTACACCGGGGAATTGAACCACTGATAAAGCCGTGACTGGTGAATTCTCTACCCACTATACTCTAAGGGCTGATTTTTTCTTGGGAAAGAAATAACATTACATTGAAATATCTGCAAGTAAGTCTCTTTACTAAGATTCACAAGGGAAAATTAATATTTTTCGCAATCTGTTAAAGCCAAACTTGCTTAGATATGTTTGAACAAGTAATTTAACAGAAATTCTTATTTTTATTTTTCTATTTTTACAGAAATATTTTGCAGAATAAAAACTATAGCTAACACGATAAAAAATGTATATTACAATCTTTATTTAAAATTTCTAATTTTAATGATTTTAAATTTATTAAATTTAGAAGTACTTTAATAGTGTCTACATGAGAATTTAAAAAAAAAAACCTAGCTATAAATTTTTTAGAGTCAAAAAAATCAAACTGATAAATGACATCTTTGGTAAATTTTCGTAACGCATGAACCGTAAGAATTTTAAATATGGTTGCGAAATTTAAATATTGTAAAAAAGAATTCAATTTTCAAAACATTTTTGAAAAAACAAACAGTCACTATCTGCTTAAATTCCGAAAATCAAACAAAAACGAGAAATTATAACTAATTCATTGAAAAATGTAGGACGGAAAACGGATATCCTTGCCTCTCTCACTCTCTTTCAAATCTCTTACTCTAAGCATATATTCTGTTATGGCTTATCATGTCTTCCTCCAACACAAAGATTGTATCTCTTTTGATACTAGTGACACAATGTTTTTATTGCACTCCTTCGCGATATGTTGTCGTATATTTAAGATGCGGGACCAACGAAGGGATTGTCAGGTGCGCCAAACCAAGAAACTGTAATACTTGTGAAATAAAAGGAACCTGCATCTTGCGAACATGTCGTGTGGGATGTGACTGTTTACCTGGATTTTATCGGAATAAACTAGACGTATGTGTGCATGAATCGAAATGTCAGGATGAATTAGAAAAACCTGTATATCGTAATACAGGTAAATACGTATTTCCTTTTTAATATGATATTTGAGTAAATACATTATAAATAGATAGTAAATAGATAAGTATATATAAATATGTTAAAGATACCCATTTGAATTTACTTCTTTTTGATCCATTTTACGGATGGTAATAAATAGTTTAAAAGCTTACGGGAATTATTTTTTGATATAAATTAATAAGTATTAATTTTTAATAAGTATTAATTATTAAATACTATTATTAGTATTAATTATTTACATAGTATTAATTATAAAATTATTAATACTTATTAATAAATTAATAAGTATTAATTTTATAATGGCACCACGTATCAAGCAGTTTAATAATAATTTAGTGCTTTCTTCAATATTTAAATCAGTTTTCAAAGTTATTAATTTTGCTATGTCAAGTAAAAAAATTGTTTAATTTTTTTAATTAACTTTGTAGTATTATGCAATTATTTTAGTAAATGCAGTTATAAAAATGCTTTTTTTTGTTTCACAATTTACCAAAATTTTAGATTTAAAAATTTTTCATTACTTTATAAGATTTTAGGATGTCTCAAAATTTTTAATTAAAACATAATAAATTTAAGAATTTTTTCTTGAAACATGATACTAATATACAAAATATCAGTTTAGAAATAAAACTTTAACATCAATGGATTTTTTCTCACGATAAGTTTGACAAAGAATTTTTCTTAGTGATTTGAAAATCTTTTTAATAAATTTGGGCGATACAAAAGATATTCCAGATTTTATCAAGTCAATAAATGTTCTTATAACGGTTAATGCATAATATATCTTGATCTTATGATACCTCAAAATTTATTAAATGTACTTACTTATTAATATGCATTAAAAATGTTATCTTGATTGCTGATACATTGTTCCTTATATGTGCATAACTTATAAGGAGGAAATCAGAAATTACAAGCAGTTGGTAAGCAATACTAAAATATGTACCAGTAGAGTTGTAGCATTGTAGAGTTGTAGAGTATAGTAGCGTGAGTAGTTAATAAATCTTTCTTTTCTCTAAGTATGAATTTATTAAAAAAGATTAAATTTCTTTAAGTAAGATATGTGATATTAAGGTAGTATTATTATCCCCGAGAGATATGAATTCAGTGAAAATGCTTAAAAATCTTAGATGACATTTAAAAGTGACTTCTGGGTAAAAACTGTTTTACTAACTGGAACTTTACCTTGCAGATTTAATTATGTTACTTCTGAACGAATATTTCATTGAATAAAAATTTTTTCACACATAATACATATTTACTTTGATGCAATGATTATAAGTTTGCATTACTTAGTTATAATACATTAATGTCCTACAATTTACGACCTTAATGCTTATTTTCTTATAGATAAGTGTCCTCCTAATGAACAATACTCAGACTGTGCAAATCCGTGCAATGATTGCCAAATTAAAGGGAAATGTAACTTTCTGGTATGCAACAAGGGATGTGACTGTATCAAGGGACACTATAGAGACGAAAGCGGTAAATGTATTCCGGAAGCTTTATGCCCACCCAAAAGTACGTTTTCAAAATTATTACTATTTATATCAAAAAAATTATTATCTCTTTTAGTTATGTTAACTTCAGAAAACAGAAAAAATGTATCATATCCAAAAAGTGTTTTTCCTCTTCTTTTTCATACCTGTTTTTTTCTGTTGCTCCTTTTATGAACTTTTATTCAAATTTGCTCATTAAAATGCACATTGAATGAGTTCTGTAACAAGAAGCCAGCAAAACATGTTTCGACTTGTTATAACACAGTTAAAGCCATTGTTTTAAATAATGAACTAAAAAAGTGGAAAATTCCCCCTCTTTTTTTGTAAACAAACGATTTGAAATTTAGTAATATATTTTATAAATGAAAAGTGTCATTAAAAATTTTATTTGAATTTGATCGAAACATTTATCAAATTTCTGTTTTGTATAATTTGCTTTCAATCTAGCTTTCAAGTTTAAAACATGACAGACGTATTGACTTTACTGAATTATTTCTGAATTATTAAATTATTTCTGAAACGAAGAATGGGAAAATTGCTACAGTCTTTTGGCAGATAATGAGTGATTAATGCATGCAAAATTTCTATTTACTATAAAAAAATAAATAAAATAAAAATAAATTTAAATTTAAATAAAAATAAATTAAAAATAAATTTTCAAAAAATTGTCAGAATTAATTCCTGCAAAATTTTTTATATATTGGCTTTGTGGTAACTTTATTATATGTTTACAACTCTAAAAAATATTCATTTATGCTAATAATTATGATTTAACAACCAATTTTTCTCGAAACTTTTGTAAAAAAATGATATCATGATTAATAATAATGTGCATAGGTGTGGAGATATATCGTTGGAGTAAAAAAATTAATTACTATAATTTATGCTAATATTTTTTATTTTATATTTAAAATGAATTAAGTTTGAAACTTATTTTTTATGCTAAATTAGATACAAGCTGTTTAAATGAATACGTTACAGTTTTTTTTATTAGCGTATTTTAGTTAGTTTTTAAATTATGATGTAAAAACATTCCTGGTTTCTTCAATATATTTGTATTTTAATAAATATTTAAAAGTTTTCAAATACAATAGTAATTGCTATTGTATAAAAAGCATTCCGGATGTTTCAACGAACGGGTGAATCAAAGAAATGTGATCTAAGATAAATTAATGATTAATTCTGAAACTTAACAATAATAAGATACTATCTACTTTCCTTAAAAATATGTCTAGTTTAAAAACTATTTCAATTTTAATTGGCATAATTTAAATTTTTTTATTCTAATTATTATAGTTTTAGTCATTATACATTATATAATTTAATTTATTAACTATTGCTTTAGCATTAGAGAGGTCTGAATTCTTGAGGCATTTGTACTGTTCAAAGTAATCTATTTTATTTCTGAACAAAACGCATCGAGGCCTCACCAGTAAATTATCTTACGAATCCGTGCACTGTGAGAAATTCCAGATCACATTCCGGAAAAAAAGTATTAGCACTCAGGCTAATTTTTACAGTAATAATTATTGCCAAATCCCTGAATCATTCGAAATAAGTAAATATTATTGTAAAAATTACCGTATAATATTTTACTATAATGGATTTTACGTTAAAATTTATTTTACGGATATTGCAGCACTTTATACCGTAATTTAATCCGCAATACTTTACAGTGTGGCACCCTTTTGAACTTTTCTTAAATTCTTTCTTTGCCTTTTGAATTTCGTGTCTGGTCGTTACCAGCACTATTTGTTTTATTAAATTGTGTACACCTTAGTATATTTTTGATACCTGAATAGGTCCCAGAAAAGATGCGTTCAAGTTTTGTTAAGCAATAAGACTCTTCATTAAATCAAAAAATTATCTAAACCTCCTTTGTGTAAAGAAAAAAAAATTAACCTAACAGCTTCTTATAATTTGCTATATATTTATTCTAAAAATATATTCCATTTGTAAAATCATTACTATAAATGATTTGGATTCAATCTTGAAGTAAGTGCATGATTTCTTTAGAATGCGATAAATAATAAAATATTTCTACTGAAATTTTTTCTACACTGCAGGTCCGTCAGAATGCGCTCCAGATGAACAGCTTTACGATTGTGTTCCTAGTTGTTCCAGAACTTGCGAAAAAGTTTTGTCAAAAGTTAAGATTTATTGTAGTCAATTGTGCAAGCCAGGATGCTTTTGTAAGGAAGGACTTGTGAAGGGCTACGATGGAAAATGCGTACGACCTCAGGAATGCACAGTTATTAGTGGTATGTAAATTAATTTAATTCGTACTAAAATAAAAGTTCAAAAATTCCGTAAATAATTTATGATAAATTAGCGCTACGCGACTGAAAAACTAATTTAACTAATTGCTCTGTTTATGAAGAAAAAAAATATTTTTAAAGTAATGGTTGAAATTACTCTGATAATTGTTTGAGTCAAAAGTGGTGAAGCGCATTTTGAAAGTCCAAATTCAAAACGTTTGGAATACTACTTAAGTCCATCACAATAATTTCTCAATCACGAGGCACCCTCGTGAACTTTCGTTTTTTTCTTCTTTTTCTTAGACTTTGTTTATTTATAGTATAGTTTTTCAAATTATCTGTAGTAGTATTTATTACTTTGAAACGATTTTATTTACTTTTGTACTAACTTTTTTGTGTATTTTCAAGTGTTTTTTTTTGTGGAATTTTATTCTTTGACGGTTATGAAATTGCAGATTTTACAGCAACATTATCTTACTTGTACTTTGTGTGACTAAGCACACATTCAATCCCATTCAATTGAATAAATAGAAAACTTCTAATAACATTTTTTGATGGACGAAGTTTAAGTTTTGGTACCCTTATTGAGAAACGGTTATTTCAAATATGATTTTCTTCCCTTGAAAACTAATTGATCCTTGAAACAAAAAAATAATTTTTTCATAAATAAGTTAATTATGTAAAGACGATAAGAAAATGCTATGTTAATCTATAAAATATTTTTGTAATTCGAAATGAAAACGTATTAACGGAGTAGTTTCTAGATTTACAGTAGTTAGACGAAACGTTAATATTTTTTGATTGATTAAGAGCCAAAACTTGTAACGAAAAAAAAAAGAAACTGTTATTATTATTATTTTTTTAGGCTTAACATGGAACTATCGATAAGGCATTTTTATACAGTATAGAACCTAAAACCTATAGACATATATTCTATTTTTTAACTCTTAAAATTTAACCTACTAATTCAAAATATATATGACAAGCAAACGAAAAATTATACTACCATATATTTTGAGGAATAGTTAGATTTTTCATAATATCTAATTATTCAATCACAGAAGATTACCTGTATGTTGCAGCTCACTGTCTACTTTAGATATAGAAGCTTCAATAGATATCAATAGCTCTGCTTGGTACTCTTATCAAGGTTTTTATGCTATAATCTGCCAAATGAATAATTAATTTTTGATAATATGTAAGTTTTCTCTTTTTTTGATGAAATGTATGTTAATTGCTCATAAGTTATGTACAGTCGATATTTTTGTAAACGAAACAAATGCCCCCAAATTGCCGGTACTTTATTTCGTAATTTGAACCAGAATTTTTTTTACAGTCTAGGGCACATCATCAGAATTAAAATTGTAATAGGTCCCATGCCCGGATATGTTGTCGTACACGGCAATAGGTGCTTTTCTATTATGATTATTCATAGTACGGAAGCCCTCTAGCGGCGTATGACGACATTTATAGGCATGGACTCCTACATAATTGTCATACTCATGATGGGCCGTAACTTTCCTAGTTTGTCGCAACATTTATGTGATCCCAATCATATGTAACGTTTTTAAGTTTGTAAATTTAAAAAAATTTCTAAAAAATCATTTTAAAATAACTATAGCTTGGTGAAAGAAATCAATTGCAAATTTGAAATCAGTGACGCGAAAATATCCCAAATCCGTTCAAAAAATCTCATACAAAACAAATTGTTCCCAAGTTTTATAGATAATCTTTTTTTTTTCTACAGAACTATTTTATCAACTTTACCGTATTATAGGATGATTCGAGTACGTAGTATCTGTTGAAGAATCGTTCGAGTTCGTTCGTCGAGGCCCATAGTATTTCAAAGGATGACCCTCCCCCCAATCGCAAAGAGAATGTCAAGTAATACCAAACTGTGTTTAAGAATGATTCTATTCTTTCAAGAAGTTCTTAGCTCCCGCTGAGATATGTCTAAAATTACCAAAATGTATTAAGATTCCAAATTCATTGCATTTTTTTATGAACTTGTAAGCCTTCTATGAGCTCTGAATCAACCTTTGCCTTTGAATATACACCCTATATGAAACGATATGACTCAGTAAGAAAATTCCAAACAAAAGTAAAGATTCATTGTTTAAACTATGCCAAAATATACAATAAAATTTTCTTCTTTGATTAGTTTTTCAACAAGCTTATTTTGTTGCGATCAACTTGTTCTAATTCAAAAAATTAAATCATCTTTGATGCATCATATTAAAATGTAATTATTTTTTTGAAAACACATTTAATGTTATTTAAATCTATGATCGTGTTCATGTTTAGGCTACTATTTTTGTACAACAGAGTAGAAAATTGCATTATAAATAACAATAAGCTTCATTGTGTTATTATTAATATTTCTAAGACAATATATCGTTCCTTTTTTTGTTATGGTAAAGAATCTTTAAACTTGTTTTCTCAGCACCACCAGAGAATTGCGGTAAAGACGAGGTCTATAATGAATGCGGCTCTGCGTGCCCTCCAACGTGTTCCAATTTAGGAAAAGATCAAGTTTGTACATTACAATGTGTCCAAGGTTGTTTCTGTCGAAAGGGATTAGTCAGAAATGACCAGGGTGAATGTGTACAGCCAGATCAGTGTCCAAAATGTAAGAAAATCTTGATTATTTTTTTTAGTCTAGCCACTTACCTTTGTAGCACTCATCACACGTCGTAGAAAGCTTGAGTAACTAAATTCTGAACTAAACTAGAGTAATATTGAATCTAATTTGTTTTTATTCAAAATGAATTGTTGTTATTGTTTCTAATCCTCCAAAATCTAACGAGGTCAAACCTGGTCCCAAGAACCGTTGATTCGAAAAATATAAATTACAAATCGAGGTTCAAGCATCGTTATAATCAGAATGCGTTGGACGGAAGCCTCTTGATTGAGGTATCTCAAGCAGATGTTGAACAATTTCCTTCCCTCTTTGAAAGAGAGGCTCTTAACGTGGCCACTAGTTAGCTGTGAGAGCTTCGGTCACAAGCAGAATTTTGAGTCCAACCCAGCTTTCTACTCCAATACCAGTGATAAATTAATGAAGTCATGAGGATGAGGGGTTACGTAGAAGAAAATTAGAAAATTAAGCAACAGCAGAAAATTGTTTACCAAATGCTTTTAAAATTAGAACGTCATTGCCTGATACATTACCATAAATAACAAATGAAAAATTTCACGAAAAAACGTACCACTCTGAATAACTTTTGATCTAAAGATCGAATCTTCTCGTTCTAGGACTCAATCTTATTGGTTTGAGGGGGTGACCTCAAATATGCTAATTAATAAGTACAGACGATATTTTAAACTATGAAACCAGACACAAAAACGTACTTTCCCTGAATAAACATGCCTTTTTTTCGACGGATTCAGCTATAGGGGTAAATACATATACATATATAGGGTAATCTGGAAAATATAGTCCCAATAGTTTGGCCAGAAGAGAGCTTCAAGGTTTGGACCCCTTAATGTTCATTTTACTTTTTCAGCATTTCGTTATATGTATTCGTATTTAATAGAATGGAAAAAAAATTTCTTCCAATTATAAAATTCATTTATTCAAAGATAATTCCTTGAATAAATTAACTTTTATTAACTAGTTATTATTTTATTTAATAATGGTGGGAGATTTTTTTGAATTGTAAGGTATGCAATTCTTTGCATCATTTTAAAGAATATAATTTTACATACCAAAATACAAAATTTTAACAAAATCGGTCGAATAGTTCCTGAGAAACTGAATTTCAAAAAAGTCAGATGTTTAAAATTCAATTTCTCAGGAGCTATTAGACCGATTTTGCTCAAATTTTGCATTTTACCATGTAAAATTATATTCTTTAAGATGACGTAAAAAATTTTATACATTCAATTCAAAATTTGTTTGTCTATTATTATGCAAAATAATAGAAAAAATTATTTAATAAAGTTTATTTTTGCACGGCATTATCTTTGGATAAACGAATTTTACAATTGTGAGCAAAATTGTTTTTAATTCAATTAAAAGGTTCTAAAGATATTACGAAATACGCAAAAAGTAAAACTGACATTAAGGAGTCCAAATTTGGGAGCACTCTCCTGACCAAACTATCGGGACCATATTTTCCAGATTGCAGTTACTCCCTATATTTTGGGGGTCAGAAATCTGAATCTGTCAAAAAATGTATTCAGAGAAAGTAAGTTTTTGCACGTTCAGAAAGTACATTTTTGCGCCAAATTTCGTAACTTAAAATTTCATCTGCACTTATTAATTAGCAAATTTGATGTGAACCCTTGATCCATTAAGATGGAGTCCTAGAACGTGTAGATCCGATCATTAGATAAAAAGTTATTCAGGGTGGTTCATTTTTTGCTCACTGTACAATACAGTATACATTAATATAATGCATGATATTAGCTCACACATATTAGATTTAAAATCTATGATCGAGACTGCCAGTGCTCCTAACTTTTTTATTCGGGACATATTCAGAGATTGTTAAGTCTATTATTATTATTATTATTGTAAAAGCTACATTTTCTTTAAATGAACTAATGGATTGAAATAAATATTACTTGAAACAATAGTATCTAAAATCAGGTCAAATTTTAAAACAGAATGAAAAATAATTTTTTTTACATTTTTCCTAAGGTGTCTTACTTTTCTTTACTATTATACGCACTTCACTGCTTAATTACCTTTTACATTTAATTTTTTACACAGCTCTTCCGATTCAAGAATGTAAAAAAGGTGAAGAATATTATGAATGTATACCAACTTGTAAAAACACTTGTGAGAACTACCAGGCAGAAAACCTAATCTGTCCTCGTATTTGCATCAAAGGATGTGCATGCAGAGCTGGACTTGTTAAGCGAAAGGATGGAAAATGCGTCACACCTGAGAAATGTGACAACACTCCAGGTATGTGTGACTAAATAACATTATGTGATTTAATAACTGTGCTTTTGCGACTTATTAACTTAATTAGACGCTATCCAAATTGAATCAGTTATTGTGCACTGTTATTATAAAATTTTATTTTTGCTTGAGTTATACCCTATATACATATATAGGGTAATCTGGAAAATATGGTCCCAATAGTTTTGTCAGGAGAGCGTTCCGAAGTTTGGACCCCTTAACGCTAATTTTATTTTACTTTTTGCGCATTTCGTTATATGTATTCGTATTTAATGGAATGGAAAAAATTTTTCCTCTAATTATAAAATTCATTTATTCAAAGATAATTACATGCATGAATTAACTATTTATTATTTCATACAATAATGGTCGAAGAATTTTTTGAATTGTAAGGTATACAATTCTTTGCATCATTTTAAAGAATATAATTTTACACATCAAAATACAAAATTTGAACAAAATCGGTCGAATAGTTCCTGAGAAACTGAATTTCAAAAAATTCAGATGCTTAAAATTCAATTTCTCAGGAGCAGATTTTGCTCAAATTTTGTATTTTACCATGTAAAATTATATTCTTTAAGATAACGGAAAAAGTTTTGTACATTCACTTCAAAATTTGTTTGACTATTAATAAATAAAATAATAGAAAAAATACTTAATAAAAGTTATTTTTGTATGGCATTATCTTTGGATAAACGAATTTTACAATCGTGAACAGAAATTTTTTAATTCACTTAAAAGGTTCTAAAGATATAAAGAAATACGCAAAAAGTAAAATTGACATTAAGGGGTCCAAATTTGGGAGCACTCTCCTGACCAAACTATTGGGACCATATTTTCGAGATTGCGGTTACTCCCTATATTTTGGGGGTCAGAAATCTGAATCTGTCAAAAAAATTTATTCAGATAAAGTAAGTTTTAGTATGTTCAGAAAGTACGTTTTTGCGCATGATTTCATAGTTTAAAATTTCTTCTGCACTAATTAATTATCATATTTGTAGTCACCCCCTTGAGCCATTAAGATTGAGTCCTAGAACGTGCAGATCCGATCATTAGATAAAAAGGTATTCAGGGTGGTCCGTTTTCTTGCTCCTTGTACAGTCCGCAAAAAAAAAGATATCACCCTGAATAACTTTCGTTCTAATGATCGGATTTTCACGAACTAAGTGTCAATCTTAATGGTTCCGAGGGGTGACCTCAAATATGCTAATTAATTAGTGCTAACTATTAATTAAGTTACGAAATCAGACACAAAAACGTACTTTCTCTGAATAAACAT